GTCGCTATGGGTCGAAACCGACTCGACGGCACTTATCAACAACAACAAATAACACCACAGGTGCTAGGTGATGTGCTGGCCTCTAGGACACTCTCCTGATCAATTTCAAGTCCTGACTCATTTCGCCTTCTTTCCCTGTCTCTGAGTCTCTAAGTGGCCAGGGCTGCATCCTGGGAGGTTCTTTAAGGCATGGTTGTAAGATGTGTGGGTGGTTGTCACCAGCAGGTCAGGCAAGTGGGAGACATTCTTGTGGCGACATTGACTAGATATGGCACAGTGGTCCTTAGCTCAGTGTTTCATGTAGTCAAGTTTGTATGCAATTCTTGGACAACAGACCACTGAAAATTTTGTGAGTTTCTATATATGAGTTTAAAGAGCTCTGGTAGTGTAGTGGCTATGAGTCGGGTTGGTAACCTCAAGGTTGCCACTGTGGTCATCAGATGTAAGAGATAACAGCTTACATCTGCAAGGTCTTGATGCACAGCATAATGGGTAAATCTTTGTAATGGAGCCTCAGTAACAGAGATGATTGAGAGTTTAGTTTTAATAGGTAACCTGAAAAGCCTGTCCTGGGATTGACCCGTGATGTCTTGTAATAAACTGAAGAACACATACACTTACAATTACGTAGTTTTGTCATCCCAGATATATGTTACCCACCTGTCCCTGCATATCACTTGCTTTTAGATATCACTCCTTTGAAGGCTCTGGTTGTCCTTCAGTGGACTATGATCTCCAGCTGCAGAAAAACCTTTACTTCCTTATTGTCTGCTTGGGTGGCCATCTTCACTCTGAATTTGGATGTCTTTCTAGTTGGACCTTCTTCAACACAACTCTTTCTCATTTTTTGTGGAATTCAAGGTCGTACTATAGAACAATTACATAAATGAAGTATTATTCTTATAGTCCATAATTTATTCAATATTCCTTATCACTACCATAATTTAAAGTTATGAATTCTCACAACACAAGTGTTTACATGCCTAGAATATCATTGAAAACACCTTGATTTGGGTAAAGCCCACCAGTCTTTTCTAATTATACACCGCTCACTATTTCCATGGACTCTCCATGACACTGGAGCACAAGGTCAGTTGGAACTGCAAGGTCATCGTTCAAACTCACCAGCCACACCTCTGAAACTCTATGGTGGTGGTGGTGTGAAGCCAAATCAGTTCAGAGGCATAGATACCCTCTATAGGGTTTCCAAGGCTGTAAATCTTCACAGGAGTAGAAAGCCTCATTTGTCTCCCGCAGAGCGACTGGTAGATTCCAACTACTGACTTTGCGGTTAGTCGGAACCAGCTTGCCACTTAACAACCGGTTCCACAGTGCACAATTTGTTACAGAATTCACATTCTTTGCAATGTTTTCCATAGTTTGTTTTGATCCACGCTTTCCTATACTTTTACAAAAATAAACATCTTTTGTTTTTAGCTGTGACTTTGGAACCTGGTTGCCTACTCCGTTTCTGGTTATCTTGAACATAAGTAAAAACAGGAACTCCACGGCCGGGTCCCTATGAAGCTCACGGATAATTTAAGTCACAGCTTTTTAAGCCCATTGAATTCAGCTCGGCTTCCGTAGAACAACAGGTAAAAAGGTTGTAGTTCCTTTCGCTCCTTAGGCGGTGCCTTCACACCAACCGGAAGCTCGCTTTTACGTTGTGTCGCGCGACCAGTTACAAATGCGGAAGTCGTCTGTGTGAAGGACTTCAGCGTCTTCTGCTGCGCCAAGTCATTCAGGTACGCTACCGAACAGTGACTTTATTCGGGAACCACCACCCATTTAATACGTAAGGACTTTAAGTAGACTCTCCAGGACACAGTGGAATTTTGTGTTAATTCACCACGTGACTCAAGTTACCAATGGCGGCCGAAAGGATCCACTCAGCGCGGGTTCTGGCAGGTTAGTTCTGGCGTAGCTCCGCGGGAGTGACGGAATGGAGCTTGGTCCCCAGGGATTCTTGATCTCAGAGTGTCCTTTCCAGCGCGGTAAGGGTATCGTGAAAGGCTGAGTCTGACACTGGGACCCGAGGGGAGGGTTGGCCACCAGGGGAGTGCTTCTGTTGGAGGGGTGGGAGTCTGCGCTGTGTGGGTGTGTTGTGTGTGTGTGCCCGTTTGGAGAAAAAAGCACGACTGAAGTGACGCGTAGTTAAGTGCCGTTGAGTCGGCTCCGACCCATATTGTAAATAGTGCGGCAGTGAACATGGATGTGCATAAATCTATTCGAGCCACTCTTCTCACTTCTTAAGGATAGATACTAAGTAGTGGGATCGCTGATCATAAGGTATTTTGCTTTCAACTTGGTAATGAAGCGCCATACAATTTTCACAGTACATGCACCATTTTACAGACAAACCAGCAGTGTAGGACGTGCAGGACACGGCCCCAGTGTCTACATACTCTCGCCAGCATTTGTTGCTTTCTGTGTTTTTTTGAACTTTGTTCTCAACGCTTGGGTAAGATGATACATTTTGGTTTTAATTTGCATCTCTTGAGTTGGGTGATGGTAACCCTGTTGTGGCACTGTACGATAAATAAGCGCTGGACTGCAAACCACAAGGTCATCACAGTTCAAACCCACCAGATGCTCCTTGGAAACCTTATACAGGATAGCTGTTTGGGAATCAACTTGACGACACTTCACAACAATAACAGTGGCTAATGATCTTGTGCATATCTTCTGTTTGCTAGCTGCGTGAATGTCTTCTTTAGTCAAATGTTTGCTCATGTTTTCTGCCCATTTTTAAAACTGGATTACATATCTTATTGTAGAAAAGTTGAAAGTATTCCATAAATTTTAGAGAGTAGTCCCCAGTCAGGTATATCATTACTAAAATTTTTATCCTTTTAAAACTCTTTTGGTGATATCTTTTGATGAACATAACTGTCAAATTTGTTGGCGGTCCCAGCAATCTATTTTGTCTTCTGTTGTTTGTGTGTTCAGTTATGTGTCATATTTATACCATATACTGGAGACCCTAAATTTGTCATTATTTTTTCACTGATGAGCTTTATAATTCTTGGTTTCACATTTAGGTCTTTAATCCATGTTGTATTCCTTTTTGCATATGGTGTGAGATAAGGATCTTGTTTCATTTTTCTAGAAATGGATTTCTAATTTTTCTAGCAGATTTTGTTGAAGAGACTGTCCCTTCCCCATTTAATGTGTGTTGGCCCTTTGTTGAAGCTCAGCTTACCATAAATACATGAATTTACTTCTGGATTCCGAACTGCGTTTCACTGATCTATGTGTCTTTCATCTTACCAGTACCATGCTGTTTTGACTACTGTGGTTTTGTAGTAGGTTTTGCGCTCTGGAAGTGACCGGCCTCCTACTTTGTTCTTTTTTAGTAATGCTTTCCTTATCTGAGGTGGCTTTCTTTTCCATATGAAGTTAGTGATTAGTTTTTCCAACTCTTTAATGAATGATGTTGCACTCTCTATTAACATTGCATTATATCTAGATTGCCTTGGGTAGTGTTGACTTTTTTACAATGTTAAGGCTTCCTTTCCATGAGCTAGGTATGTTCTTACATTTTGTTAGGTCCCTTTTGATTTCTTTCAGCAGTGTTTTGTAGTTTTCTTTGTAAAGACCTTTTTTTAAAAAAATGCTTTATTGTGAATTATGTGATAGTTTACATGGGAGGACACCAGCTTCACATTGATCCCATCATATATCGTTTCCTTGCCATGGTTACAATCCCTTTTTGTTTCTCCTGGTTATGTTATTCTTAAGTATTTCATCTTTTGGGAGACTATTATAAATGGTATTGTTTTCCACTTCAGCGCTCTCTTTATTAGTGTAAAGGAATGAAACTAATTTTTGAATATTGTTCTTCTCCTTAGCTATTTGCTGAATCTTTCAGTGATTTCCAATAATTTTCTTGCTGAGTCCTTAGAATTTTTTATATGTAAGATTATATCATCTGCAAATGTTGTTATTATTAAGTGCTACTGAGAGGGTTCCGACTCATGGTATCCTGTATAGGGTTTCCAAGGAACAGCTGGTGGATTTGCACTGCCCACCTTTTGGTTCGCAGTGCAGTCCTGATCCTACAGTGCCACACCAGGAATCCCATATACAAATAGGGAATGGTTGACTTCTTTGCCAGCTTGGATGCCTTTCATTCCTTTTCTTGCCTCATAGTTCTGTCATAAGACTCCTGGTATGGCATTGTAGGATCAGCACTGGACTGTGAGCTACAAGGTTGGCAGTTCAAACCCACCAGCTGCTCCTTGTAAACCCCATACAGGGTCGCTATGATAACTAGCTGCAACAGCAACAAGACTTCAGCACAGCAGTGAATAGGAGTGATGATTAAGAGCATCCTTGTCTGGTTCCTCTTCCTCAGCGTTCATGCTTTCAATTTCTGTCTTTTCAGATAGACGTCTGTTGTTTTGTGTTGTTGTTGTTGAGTGTCATCGAGTCGATTCCGACCCATAGCGAACCTCTATAGGTTTTCCGATGAGCAGCTGGTGAGCTTGAACCACTGACCGTGCAGTTCAAACGGCTTTGTATATATATTCTTAATTATGTTGATGAATTTCCCTTCTATTCCTGTTTTGTTGAGTGTTTATATCAGAAATGGGTGGCGGATTTCCTCCACAGCTTTTCCTACAATTGAGAGGATCATTTTTTACCCATGGTTTTATTTACGTTGAGGATTGCATTGATCGTTTTTCTAATACTGAACCATCCCTACATACCTAGTATGAATCCCACTTGGTCATGATATTATGTGTTTGAAATATTGTTGGATTCTGTTGGATACAATTTTGTTGACAAGTTTTGCATCTGTGTTCATGAGGAGTATTGGTCTCTAATTTTCATTTTTAGAAATGTCTGACTGATTTTGATATCAGGATTTTGCTTGTTTCATAAAATGAACTGGGGGGGTTCTCCTTCCTTTTTACATTCTGGAATAGTTTGAGTAGGATTGGTGTCATCTCCCCTCTGAATGTTTACTAGAATTCAACAGCAAAGCATTCTGTGTCCAGTGTTTTTTATTAGTAGGAAGTCTTAATGTCTTGGTCAATTTCTTCTATCATTGTTGTCCTGTTCCTGTCATACAAGTCAGTCTGTGTTAATGTAGTTAGGTCCTGTGTTTCCATAAATTGGTCTGTTTATTCTAGACTTTCACATTGCATGGAGTACAATTCTTTGTAGGGATGTGTTACTTTCCTTTTATTTCCTGTGGTTCGCTTGTGAAAGAACCAACTTCTTGTCTTGTTGATTCTTCCTGTTGTTTTACTGTGTTCACTTATTTGTGCTGTTGTTGTTGTTGTTGTTATTGTTGTGAAGTGCCGTGGAGTCAGTTCTGACCCATAGCAACCCTGTGTAGGTTTCCAAGGAGCAGTAACCTTTATTATTTTCTTCTGGTGCCTGGATCCTTATGTTGCTGCCCTTTTTCTATTTGATGGAGATGTTGGATTAAGGTGTTCATTTTGGATGTGTCCCTTTATTGCTGTAAATTTCCCTTTGAGAGTTGTTTTTGGTGTGTCCCAAAAGTTTTGGTATGTTGTCCTTTTGTTCTCATTTGAGTCGGGAATTATTTTATTTTTCTCTTATAGCACAATAGGATAATCACTGGACTGTTAACTCCCAAGTCTGGAAGTTCAAACCCACCAGTTGTTCAGTTGAAACCCTTTACAAGTTTGCTATGAGTCAGAATAAATTGGAAGGCATTGAACATTACCTTCTATTAGAAGAATAGTAGCCTCTAAGCAGGGCATGATTCCGTTTCCTTGTGTTTGATTATTTACCTTGATGTTTCTGTTGTTGATTTTTTATTTTTTAACAGTGTGATCTGAGAAAATACTTTGTGGTATTTTGATGTTTTAAAGCTTATTGAGATTAGCTCTGTGGCCTAGCATATGATCTATTCTGGAGATGTTCCATGTACACTTGAAAAGAATGTATATTGTGCTGCTGTTGGATTGAATACTCTGTATATTTCTGTGAGGTCAAGTTGTTTGGTTGTGTTGTGTAGTTCTTCTGAGTCTTTGCCAAATTTCTTTGTAGTAGTCCTGTCCTGCATTGAAAGTGGTGTATTAAAATCACCTGCTAATATGTTGTTATTGCCGACAAATGGGTTCTGATTCAAAGCTACCCTGAATAGGATTTCCGAGGAGCAGCTGGTGGGTTTGAATTGCTTACCTTGTGGTTCACAGTCCAGTGCTGATCCTACCTCACCACACAAGGAGTTTGTCTATTATTATGTAGACTTATCTATTTCTTTCTTCAGTTCAAATTAGCGTTTGACTTATGCATTTTGAAACCTTTTAATTGGGAGCATAACTATTCATTGAAAGTCTAGGAAAGGGAAAGAAAGGGAGGAGGAAAAGAAGGAATGAACAAAAGCAAAGAAGCAGCTAAAGGAAAGAGAAACAAAAAACCAGTTCAGTGGTTGGACCTCGAGAGGGAAACACTCTGAGGGGCTCCACCAGCAAAGACACTCAGGAAGTCAGTGAAGGAGGGATGTGATGGCTGAGTTCGCAGTCTTAGATGGAGTTCCTATAGGTCTAGGTGTTGTCTATGTTTGAAGAACCCAATCCGGAAGTAGTTTCTGAAAGCCCTTCAGGTACCCACTTTCCGCGTCTTTCAGAATCAGTATACTGTTTGGCTAATTATGAAGATTCCCGCTCATCTGTTTCGGTCCTGGAGGCTCTGTGGGTTCTGTAGATCTAGAGCAGAGTTCGTCTGAGTCCAGATACCTAGGCTGCGCAACTGGTTCCAACTTCTCACCGGTTGAAACTGCCTGGCTCGGAACTCCTGGAGAGCAGGGTCTGTGCTGGACTTAGATGAGGGTGGGAGTCGGCCTTACACCTGTGAGCTCAGGGAGTGTGGGAAACAAAGGAATTGCACTTTTGCCTTCGACTATGTAAATTTACACTGTTAGGCCTCTGCCTTTGCATCTCTTCAAAACAGCTTGCAGGGTTCAAGAGGGCCTTGCCGTGCTGTGCTGTGCCGTCCCGTGTGTGGCCGCTTTCCGTTCCCTACTCAGTCTGTCTTTCACTGCCCTGCTTGGCATCTCCCAGTAGGTAGATAGGTAGGTATTTAGGCCACATCTCTAACCTTCCAGCATTCCAGGATTGTCCTCCTTTAGTCTCCTCTATCTTTGCTGTAGATAGTCTGTGCAGGCCTGTCTGTTTAGTCTGCCACCTTTCCGGAAGTCTCTCAGTCATAGCCACTTTTTATTTTGTCACCTTTTGCAAGATATACAAGTATCACCTCTCTGAGCCTTAAAACTACTTTTCTCCCATTGAGTATCAGAATTCTTAGCGTTTGTCATTTAGGACCGTTCTGTTACTTCAGTAAGATCTTTTCTTGTATATTTGTACAGGTCCTGTCATTCCAGTTGCTGAAATCACCTAGTTTAGCACAGTCTTTAGGGATCTCCATGAACTAATGTTTTGGGAAGCATGTGATTTTAGTAGCTGGCCAGTTTTCAAAAGATACCTCATATACCGCTGAAAAAATGTTTTTCTAATGGTCTTAGCATTCTTGCAATTATCACAGAGTCTATACCATGGTGTGGCGCTGTGGGTTAATGCGTCAGACTGCAAAGCTGAACTACAAGGTCGGTGGTTCAGGTTCACCAGCTGCTCCTCGGAAACCCTATACAGGGTTGCTGTGGGTTGGAACTGACTTGAGGGCACTTAACAACAACAATAGCACTAATGAGGCAGTAGTAAACGTAAACAGTGCCTGCATAGCACCAGGGGTTAAGCGCTCCATAACTAGTGGAAAGAAAGGGTGCCAGCTCAAGCACACCAGAGTTTCCTCGGAAGATAAACTTTGCAATTTGCCTCCAAAAGATCACACACATGAAATCCCTATGGAGGTGTTTTACGCTGCACACCAGGAGTTGGAATCAACTCAACCGGAGTTCACAGCAGCAGCAAGACAGTGTTAGGGCTGTAGTCCCATGAGCTCAGGTCCTGGCCAGGGTGTGTGAGGAGCTTCTGAAGGTGCCATTGCTCCTAACATCACCTCTGGACCACATGAGTGTAGCTCTGTGACTGATAGGGTCATGTGACATAGAGACACAGTCATGGAAAGTGCTGTGTTATCTTTGCAAGTCATCGTGAGACCTGTATGGACTCAGTTCAGACTCCCGAAGACCTCAGTACAGTGACATAGGGGGTTGAACACAGTTGGAACCTGGGGTTCTGGGACACAGAAGACAACTGCTGCATGCCCTAAGTTGTCAGAGGCTCTTTCTCCATAGGCATTAGGCTGCATTCTGTCTTGTCTCTGACTCAGCATCAGAAATTCATCTGGAACATGGAGCTTGAATCTCAGTTTTGGGGTCAAAAGGGCCACATTTTGACAGGGAACAGACTTGAGGACACATAGGCCTGAAATGGATAATGGTGAAAATGCAGAGACCCTGTGTGTGATGATTGAGGAGGGGGTGATAGGACCGCATCTCTGCTGAAGGGATCTGGCAATGAGGCTCACAGTAAAGGATCCAGAAGCATCAAGTCGCTTCTCCATCCCACAGGTCCTGCACGCATGGGAACAAGAGGGAGTTTCGTGGTGGAGTTGTGAACAAGTCACCCCAGGCAGCAGAGATCCATCCTGAGATGAAGTAACTTCCCGTTGATCCTGTGCCAGAATTTCAAGAGAGCTCCTGTATTGATTCTGGGGCCATTTCACTGCCTGATTCTTCTGCCCTGGTAAGCAGGACTGAGCAAGATTTTGGCTTCAAAACACAAGGACGATATGGAGACGAGGAAGAAATGGACTCAAACACATAAGGCCAAAGGTGAGAGTTACAGGGGACCAAGGCTCCAGGTTTATGTGAGAATGTATTAGTGGCCATAGCAAGGAAAGTGACAGCTTTCTTCCATTCCCTTACCAGAAAACCTCCTCTGGGAGCATCGTGGGAGGTGTGCTTTCTTATAGCTCCTCTTTCTTCCCCTAGGTTTGTCCTCCAGGGCTAGTGACTGGCGCCAAGAGAAGAGGAAGCCCAAAATACTGGTGAGTTGGAATTGCTTTTTTTTTTTGGAATTGCTTTATTGTTTTGAAATTCTGACTTACTTGTTGAAGAACAGGCCTATATTTTCCTCTATCTTTGGGAGGGATAAGGTAATATTTTAGTAAGTTTAGGATGATTTCTGTACTTTTGGTACATTCTTTTTTTAGAAAACATAGGAAAAATTAATATTGAATAATTCCAGAAAACTTAATATCTGAAAAACATTCTTAAAAGACAGAGATCGCTAAAAATTTAAAAGATACTCTTAAATTTCACTACTCAACCATATGTTGTTGTTAAGTGTTGTTGAGTTGATTCTGACTTAGCAGTTCCGGAGAGCAGTTGATGCTGCAGTGATACTGACTTTACAGCCTAGTGATCATTCAGGACTTCCTATCTGTATGCGTGCTATATAATGTCACCGTCTTGTATACTGCAAGTGTTTTCACTTTTTAATTGCTGAATTTTTGTTTGGCTTTGTTTGATCTTGTTTATCACATGAAGGTGTATAGATAAGATCATCAGCAAATCATACATTTGTTTGATCTCAATGATTATATGCACTCCATGCAACAACAGTTAACCTGCTTC